GGCTGGGCTGCGTACCAGCGTAGGCTCCGACGGTGAAGGCATCTGGCTGGGAACCTCGACCTCCGTGGCAGATGGTACCGCTGGTGGCTGCCCTTGGGCTGCCTGCCCTGGTGGCGAGCTGGGACTCGGCACTGCTGTTGGCACGGAGTGCTCGGTAGGCGAGCTGCGGTGCAGGGTAGCTCTGGGCGGAGAGGTTGGGCATGGTATTCTGGCTGCTTCCGCCTGCTCCTGGAGTTCGCGCTGCTTCTGGAAGAAAGCGTCCGTGGCGGCCTGCACAACTCTGTCCAACCCCTGCAGCTGTGAGCTCATGGTTGGCTGCGAGTCTGCTGGCGGGGTCGGTGGGACCTGCTGGGTCGGAGACGACTGCACGGTGACCGCCGCCTGGCTCGGTCCCGTTCTCCTTACTGCCTCCAGTTGGGCGTGCAGCTCCCTGATGGTCGCTGGGTCCTTGTAGCCCCCCGTCTGGGGTCGGATGATCCATCCCAGCGGCCTCTGCTGCCGCAATGGCGTGGGACAGCTCGTGCTGGGATATGTGGGGGCCTGGCCCTCCAGGGAGCGGGGCTGGCGGGTGCGCTGGCCCCTGGGCTGGGGGCGGCGCTGCAAGGTTCGCCGTTGTAGGCGGTGCTCCCTTCTGATCTACTGCCATGGGGGCTACCGCCCCCTCTGGGGTCATCCCTGCTGCGCTGGCGTCCTTACCTTTCCCTTTCGCCGCCATGTAAGCTTGGCCCATGGCCGACTTGGACCTCGCTGGCGTGCCCTGATGCACTTGCTGGGTCTGCTGAGGCTGGCTGAAAACTTGCTGGGGAAGGAAAGTGCCCTGCGTGATAGCCTGCATCTGCTGGATCAGATGTGCTGGAGGCGGTGGCAGGACCGCGCCCGTGACGGGCGGAGGGACTCCAGGGACGCCCTGTATGCATGGCCCCGCGGCTGGCTGCACTAATCCCAGCAGCTGGCTGATTACGCTTTGCTGCATGGCGAGCTGTGCTTGTATCTGAGCCATTTGATTGCCAGGCGCTGCTGGTGGGGGTGGCGGTGGTGCCACATTGTGCGAAGATGGGCCGTCCGCTGCCTGATGGTCGTGGGCCACGTCGTCGGGCTCTTCGCCCTCGGAGTCTGGGGCATCCTCCAGTTCGGCTATGCAGACGTCGGTCTTGGCGATCTCCGTCTCGACCAGTTTTTCAAGTTGCTTGAACTCTTTGATGCTTTTCCGAATCTTGGTAAGTTTCTCCTTGTACGTAGTCTTCTTGTCCTTGAGGGCCTGGATCTGGTCCTTGCGCTTCTCGGTGAGTCCCATCAGGAACTTGAGTGCTGCAACTTCTGTTAGCTCCTGGTCGCAGGGCTTGTTGGCCCGCCTGGCTGCACAGATGAGGTTGGCAACATCGTATGTGCGGCTCTTGATCTCGTCTTTGTACTGGCGCTGCGCGGCTGGGTCTGTGGGAGGCTTGCCGTAAACCTCGTAGACCTTGTGCGCTTCTGCCTGGCTCTTCGGGAGAGGTAGTGTCTTGGCAATGAGCTTCTTCGCCAGGGGCTTGGGCTGGGTGGCCCCTCTCGGGGTGGAAGCACCTGCTGCTTGCTGCTGTGGCGGTCGCCCCCGCGATGCAGGGCGTCGTCTCCTTTGGTTGTAGTGGCCATTGCAGCTTCGGCACGTCCAATGCCGCTCTGATACGTGTCGCCCACACGCACACTGCCAGGTACCAGCCATGTCTTCTGCACAGTCGGACCGGCGCCGTGGTTGTTGGGCGCTGTGGTGACGTTGGAGCAGCTCACGAGCGCTGACCGCCCTCACGAGCAGTCGCGCTTGTCCGCGGGCTCTCCTTTCACGTCGGTGCCAGGCGGGCTCTCTTGACCGAGAACCCCGCCAGTGCCGCCTCTCGGATGGCGGCGTGACCGCGGCGATGCCGCAGCGGCCGCGGCTGGGCCGCGGGTGCGCTGCGCCGCCTGCAGGCAGCGCTGCCGCGGAGGTCCGCGGGCTATGGCGCGCGCGGGCCGAGGGCCACGCGTGAGGCCACGGCGGGAAGGGCTGCCCCCCAATCCCCAGGGGCGGCCCTCAGCCGATACGCCTTCTCCTCCTCCTCCTCCTCCTCCTCCTCCTCCTCCTCCTCCTCCTCTCCTCTCCTCCCCCCTCCTCCTCCTCCTCCCTCCTCCTCCTCCTCCTCCTCCTCCTCCTCCTCCTCCTCCTCCTCCCTTTCCCTTTTCGCAGTTGGTTGCGCGCAGTCGCGCGCGGGCGCGCCAGGCCCCGCTGGGTCAGGACGGGGGGCGCCGACCGCCTCGAGGGCCTGTGGGCACCCCGCTCCTGCACCCTCCCACGCCCAGGTTGCTCTTCACGCCCGCGAGAAACTCACGACGGAGGTTTTTGATCATTTTTGGCCTCTGGAGGCCCTCGCTGGGCCTCGGGAGCGTCAAGAAACGACTCGGGATGAACAACCGGTCCCAGGGAAGGTCTCCAGACTTCCGAAGGCCGACGTCGTGAGTTTCTCACGGCGTCGGGGGTCTGGGCCTAGTCACACTTGTCCGCACAGCCCCGACCAGGGCAGGGGGCGGGCGGAAAGAGGCCAGGCCGACGGCGACGACGACAACGAAGGTGATAAGGGGGACAGGGAGAGGGACAGAGAGGCAGGCGACGGCGGCGGCGACGACAACGACGCCGACAGCGACGACGCCCACGACACCGACGACGGCACCGACACCGACGGCGGACGGGACGACACCCACCACCAGCACAAGGCAGACGAGGGCGACGGCGACGACGGCGACCCCACTGGCAGGGCAAAAGCAGCCACCCCGACCCCCCCCCAGGGGCGGCGGAGAAACGAAAGTTGGAATCGAGACCAACATCTGCATTCCCTTGTTGCGCATTTCCGTGCAGCCCCGCCACAGGGGGCAGGGAGCGGGCAAGGGGAGAGGCGACGCCGCCGACGGCGACGACCACGGCGACAACGACGAGGGCGACAACGGCGACGACGACAACGACAACAGCGACGAGGACAAGAGCAACGGCCACAACGACAACGACGGCCGATGCAGCCCGCCGCAAGCACCCGGCAACGAGGCACCGAACCGCCAGCAGGGGCACGGCAAGGAGCCCTAGCAAACCGGCAGCCCACACCCCCCCAAGTGGCGGCGGAACCAGAAAATCTGGAATAATGTTATTGCTGTTGCCAAGGCCTCGCAAACCTGGCCAGAATACACATGTCGGCGCCCCTTGTAACACCCACCGCGTAACTGCCGTAGCGCCTCTTCCAGGCAGCTCCTGCCGCAAAACCGCCGTTCCGGTGCAGGTCGCCAGCAGGTGGTCCAGTGTAGCCTTGCTACTTTCGCAGAACGGGCAAGGCGCGACAGCAGGGACCAGTCCACCACGACCCCACGCAACCAGCGGAATAGAGCCAGTGACTCGTGCAATAATCCACGCCCTGAAATACTTCCAAACACGATGGTGCCAAGGAGCCCACTGTAATCCCAACGGGAACGGCGAGCGCGCCGGGGCCAGAACCGCGTACGTTGCACCGCCCACTACTGGCAGGAGAGCAAGCTGCTCGCAGAACCACTCCTCCTCCGCGCGCCTGATGGCAGGCACAACCGCTGTGCGCTTCCACTGCCCCACCAAAGCACGCATTTTTCCCTATCAGAGCGATCCACGGCCTCCAGGTCCTGAGCCAAGTGGAATGGTTTAATCCCATATCTCTTGGCGATGGCGTCGGCCCGGTCACACCACGTCTTCCCTGTGATAGCTGCTGCGCCCAAGCACGCCATGCGGGCCACCGCTTCTGCAGGGAGGAGCTCGATTCGCGCCCTGGCGGTGATAATCCGCTGGGCCAACGTCGCCGCGACGCGCGTGAACAGGCGTAGCTCAGAGAAGCAACGCACATGGCACCCAGCACCCAGGGACGTGCTGGCCCGCAGCCCCAACATGATCTTGACAGCCGAGTGCATCGCCTCGTTCAGACGCCGCGACACCACCGCCCAACCGCTCGCATGGCACGCCAGTAACTCGCTATCATGCAGCGCCGCAGGTAATATGCGCTTCCCTGACTGCTCCGCAAGCAGGGGGAGGCCCAGGCCCAAGTCCTCGATCGACGTCACCATCTCCTGCGCCTGAGAGACAATCATAGCGTAGGTGCGGTCCAACAGCGGCTGAAAGGTTAGGCCCGCATCCACCAGCGTGCCCGATACATTCATTGATTTGCGAGCCTCCACCACCACCCCGCCCACAGCACTATAGCAGCCCGCTGGCCCCCTGGGGGACGCCGGCTGGCAGCACCGACGGACGTTTTGCGCCGCCCTGGAGCGCGTGGCGCTACCGCTGACAAAACACGTCCAGACGGGCGCACGCTGCGCGCACACCCACAGCCGAGGACTGCAGCAAGAAGGCGTCGTCTACGAACTGCGCCAAGCCGACCCTGTAGGGCGACATAATGTCCAATAACGCCAGCTGTTCTCCCGCCCCCGACAGGGAGCACATATGCTCGGGCCAGTCTGGACGGCGATACCCCTCCGCAACCGCTGCCTCCTCCTCCTCGTCCTCCTCCTCCTTCCCCTCATTCTTCTTCTCCTCCTCCTCCTCTTCCTCCTCCTCCTCCTCCTCCTCCTCCCCCTGCTGCTGCTGCTGCTGCTGCTGCTGCCGCTCCTCCTCCTCCTCCTCCTCCTCCTCTTCCTCCTCCTCCTCCTCCTCTTCCTCCTCCTCCTCCGTCCCCCCCCCTGCCCCGCCCCGACCCGCTCCTATCTTCTCTCTCGCGGCGCCTCGCTGGTGCCTCCATCATCATCTCATCCCTCGCCTTGGTACTGTCTCCGTCCCTTTCTCCCTCCCTCCCACCACCTCGTCCTCCCTCCCTCCCCTGGCCCCTCCATTGTCTCCCCTCACTTTACCTTCCTCTCTCCACCTCCCCTTCCCTCCCTCCATCATCTCCCCCTCCTTGGCCCCGCCCTCCACCTCGTCCTCCCTTGGCCCCTCCATCTCTCCCTCCCTCCCTCCCTCCACCTCGTCCTGCCTCACGCGGCCGAAGGTTCTGCGTGCAGCGGCAGTGCCAGATCGAGAACTTCTCCCCGAAGAACAGCTGGCGGCTCGAGGCGAAGCTGAAGATCGGTGACGGCATCCCGGAGCCGCCGAGACTTTGGGAGCGGGGGGCTGATGGGGGGAGGGGCAGGAGGTTCACGCCGACCGGGGAGGGGCAGGAGCAGGATGGCACCGAAAAGGAGGAGGAGGAGGAGGAGGAAGAGGACGAGGAGGAGGAGGAGGAGGAAGAGGAGGAGAGACGCGGGGATCTCTCTCTTCAAAACGAGGACCCAACACCACAGGATGGTTGGGAAGAACGAGGGGGCACTCCGATGCGCTCTGGGAACCCGGTTGAGCCGCCTTCCCCTGGGTGACTCTAGCGAAGGGTCCTGGCGTCAGCCAGCACCTGGCGCCAAGAAGACGAAGTGCCGCGGAGCAGCGACGCCACAGATCAGGCCGCCCCTCGATCACAACGAGGGGTGCCCACCAACCTTCGTGGCCCTGCGCAGGAGGTGTGCTAGAAGGCTTCCCACCCGTGCGTCACAACATGGTGTTCCCGTCGAATGTGCGGCATGCCAACGATCTCAAACACGAAACGCTACCTCGAAACAGAGCCCTCCTGTGGGGACTTGGCTCAAGAGGTGCGCGCGCCCGCCGGGAAAGGCCACCTGTCGTGCCGAGGGCCCGCCGCCGGCCCCCCGCCCCCGCCCACCCGCCGAGTCGCCGAGGAAATCTGCCGCCATGGGGACTTGTTGAGAAATCCGCCGCCGAGCTGGGGAGGAGAGGGGGAGTCACGCGCCTCGGTTCACAGCGGTGGCAGCTCCCTCGCACCCCTCCCGTGCGGCCGGCGGGGCCGCGGAAAATCCCGCCTCGGATAACGACGGGACGCAGTAGATTTGGAAGGTTTGCTTAGGTATATGTGACGGGAGAGCGTCTGCGGAGCTACGCAAGAGATGGGGTGAAGCAAGCAAGCTTTTCAAGTAACTTAACAAACTTTGGTCACGCACATCTGTGGGCTGGAGACGGAAGCGCAATATCTACGACAGCGTTGTTTCGAGCAAACTAATATATGATGGGGATTCTTTGTGGTTGTTGAAATCAGTCAGATGCCAGCTCGATGCCTTCCACTGCCGATGTTTGCGACACATGCTTGGAATTCCACATTCTTTCATATCACGGAGCAGCAACGCAAGCGTTCTCGACCAGGCTGGGGCGGAACCGCTATCGCAAGTTTTGGCTGGGAGACAAATTAAGCAGTACCAGAAAATTATCGCATATGGGCCTGCTGCTTTAGTAAACCGAATTCTTTGCAACGGCGATGGGTCGCCGAAGAATTGGGCTCGCAAGCGCAGACGCGGACGACCGAGACAACAATGGGCGTCTTCAGTTTACAGTGTGTTGCATCATGTTTGTGCAGGTGAGCAGATATACCATCGTCGTCTTCATCCGTCGTCATATTCAGGTATGGCGTTTGTTCACGCCCGCGTGCTTCGAGTGGGGTTTGGCCACACCTTTGTGCTTAGAGCGTTTGGAGTGACGTTGAGTCACTTGTATTATTCCTGCCAACTCGTCCACCTGGACGCAAGGCTCCTGTCTGTCCGGAAAACGACGCCACACGCGCGCTGCCTCGAAACTCCTCGACAACCGCGCGGGGGGGGCGCGGTGGTCGAGGAGGAGGAGGAGGAGGAGGAGGAGGAGGAGGAGGAGGAGGAAGAGGAGGAGCGGGAGCGCGAGCGGGGGGCGCCCACGGTGGGACCGCACGGCAGGGCCGGGGGTTAGCCCAGGGAGCGCAGGCCAAGGCCGTGGGCCACCAGTGCAGCCCCCGCGCAGGCCACGACTTCCAGGGTCGATGCCCCCGGGGGGCCCGACGCGCCTCCCTCCAGGGGCGTGAGAGGACGAGGAGGTGGATGAGAAAAAAAGGGTGGCGTGGGATGTGGAGGAGGAGGAGGAGGAGGAGGAGGAGGAGGAGGAGGAGGAGGAGGAGAAGGAGAAGGAGGGGAGGAGGAGGAGGAGACGACGACGACGACGAGAAGGGGGCGGAGGAGGCGGAGGAGGAAAAGGGAGGAGGAGGAGAATGAGGAGAAGAGGAGGAGGAGGAGAGGAGGAGGGAGGAGGAGGAAGAGAAGAGGAGGAGAAGGAGGAGGAGGAGGAGGGAGGAGAGGAGGAGGAGGAGGAGGGAGGGGGAGCAGTGGATGGGGGAACGGGAGGGAGGGGAGGGGGGGAAGGAGGGGAGAGGGCGGATTGAAGCGGTGAAGGGGGAGGGGGAGGGGAGGGCATCAGCAAGGGAAGGAGGGCACAGCGGGGTGGCAGGGCAGGGATAGGGCACACCGCGTCCGGCACCCCGCGCTCGACGCGCGGGCGAGAGCGCGGCCGCGGCCGCAGACCCGTCCGTGGCCTTGCCCGTCCGTGGCCTGGGCCACAGGAAATCACGGCGGAGAACACCAGCGGCAAGGTCTGGGACAAGAACGAGGCGCAGATCCTGCTGCGCAAGGCAAGCCGGCCGCGCCCAGTCGGCCCGCGGCGAGCGCGCCGCCAGGTTCTTGCCGCGATCGATCACTAGTAGCTAGCAGCGCGTCTTGGCCTGCGCATGCGCCCACCAAAGGAGGAATCCAATCGTCTTTCGCAGTTTGTACTAGACACGTCACTCGAACAGTTAAGGCCGAAACAGTATTTAAAAGCGTTGGCCCCATGCATTCCGCGGTAGGCCTAAAGAAACACCGGACGCAAGGTCCCTCCTCAATGCGAGCTGCGTGTCGGCAGCCTTACGCATCTTGCGACTGCAGTCTTTTCCTCGAATTCTCGACGTACGGCCCGGCGCCGCGAAAACTTGAGCATTGAAACGAAGAGCGCTGATCGTCGCGGCTCTCGGAGTTAGTCGTCCCTCAGACGATCGGGCCGTGAATGGGGAGGGGTATGGTCCTCGCACGAGTGGAGGGGCGCGTGTTGCCACGGCCAGTGTGCACAGCGTCAGGAGGTCGGGAGCGTGCCGTGCTCAGGGACAACGACGAAAGGGCAGCAGGGCTGTGCCCACGAGCATGGAAGGGGCCATGGCATCGTGTCAGCATGCTGGTGGGTCAGGTTGTTGCTGCTCCCTGTTCGCTGTTACTTGCTGGTAATAACGCAAGCAAATCGAAGCCAGGGCAGCGGCACGGGGCGGAGCACTGGCCCCAGGGCCGGGCGCATCGACCCCCGATCGCCCATGCCTCGCCGATCCGGGCCTGGCCCTCCCCGGAAACGAGCGGTTTCGCTCTCGACGGCACCTCGCCACTCCGCCATGCATCGCCGATTCCAAGTCAGCGTCCCCCCCACTCAGCTTAAGTCGGGCCTGTCCTTCTACAGGAGGAATATTCAAAAATAGTAAAACAAATAGTCTGGGGATGATCTTTTGACCATTTTGATCATTGTAGTATTTGGAGTTTTTGTTCACCCAAATCCGCCTGTAGGCGGACATGCCCGACCTAACACTCAACCAGTCTCCCCTGTCGTTCCCCCCTCGTGTGGGCCTTGCCCAAGTGGCAGCGCAGTCGCGAGGCACTCGGGACAGCCCCTTCCCTCCGCCTGCGGCAAATCCCGAGGCCCCTACCGCCCCGATTGAGCTGGCGCAAGGGCGTCGTGGCTGGCGACTCGCACTCGGGCCGGTCCCTGCCTCTGGGCGCTGCGTGCGACAAGCGGGGTTGAAGGTCTCACTGCTGCGGTACTTGTTCTGGCTCCCGTTCCGCGACATCTGCGGCATCTGCGGGCAGTCCCCCCTCGCAGGCGATGTTTCTTCTCCACCCCCCGACTTTCCGACGAGAATGATGCGGTAAAAAAATGGAAGGGAACCCTGGGATATCACCCCCAGGAGGCTATTCGGACGCACCCCTATCAAGGATGGACGCAACCCCCACGTATATATCCCAGGACTGGGCCCCAAATGTTTGGTCCGTTCGAAAACCTCCCAAAGCCTTGGATAGGGGGTCGACATATCCCTGTCAGTGACCCCCCCGACGGCCTCAACAGTGGGCTGCTCCTCGGCCTGCGATGCCGCCGCTGGCCTTTCAAGCGATATGCTGATTGTGATGGTGATGTTGGTGATAATGATGATGCTGATGCTGATGCTGATGCTGCTGATGATGATGACGACGGCGATGCTGATGCTGATGCTGCTGATGATGATGACGACGATGCTGATGATGATGATGATGCTACTGATGATAATGATGACGATGCTGCTGATGATGATGATGGTGATGCTGATGCTGATGCTGTTACTGATGATGATGATGATGATGATGATGATGATGATGATGGTGGTGGTGGTGGTGGTGATGATGATGATCATGATCATGATCATGATCATGATCATGATCCTGAGCATGCTGATCATGATCATGACGATGCGGTTGGTGTTTCTGTTGCACCCCGAGAAAAGCGTACCCAGTGCCTCCGCCGCTGCCGGCTGCCACTGCCGCCTGCCCGCGACGACGGCGGCGGCCCCCTCGCCCGAGAGGTGTGCGCCGAGGACGCGGCGAAGGTGACGGCGGTGGAGAAGCGGAGGAACGACCTGCAGCGGCCCCTGCCGCTGAACACGGCGCGCCACGCCCCCCCCCCCTCGGAGCGCCGAGCGAGCGCGGTGGCGGCACCCTCCCCACCGGTGTCCTCCTGCGGGGGGAGGGGGAGGGGAAGGGGCAGGGGGAGGGGAGGGGAGGGGAGGGGAAGGGAGAGGAAGGGAGCAGGGGGGGGAGGGGACGGGAGCAAGGAGGGGGAGGGGGAGGGGAGCTGGGAGGGGGAGGGAGCAGGGAGGGGGAGGGGAAGGAAGGGGAAGGGAGTCCGCTCAACGTCAAACATGGAAGCAGAAGTGAGGGAGCGAGGCTGGGAGGGATATTGATGCTTTAGACGGCGGAGATGGAGCACCAGCAGCAGGAGGAGTAGACTGAAGATGACGAGGAGGACGAGGAAGAAGGGAGGAGGCGGATGATCATGGGGGGCGTTGGTCCGTAGCCATTCTGTCTGAAGCCTGCAGCACGTATCCGCCGGCTGCCATGGGCGTGGTGCTGAGCCGTGTCCTTAACCTGCCATACCACTTATTATCATCATCGTCATCATCATCGTCGTCGTCGTCGTCATCATCATCATCAGCATCATCATCATCATCATCAGCAGCAACAGTAGCAGCAGCAGCATCAGCATCATTCTCATCATCAGCATCATCACCATCACCATCACCGTCGCTGACATCCACGTCTTCTCATCCCTTCTCTCGGAGAAACGCCCAGTTGCAGTCTTCTGATCCCACCCCCCCGTGTTTTTCCGTCCTCCTCCTCCCCCCCTCTGCCGCCTAGTCGAGTGGCCTCGCCGCCCTGACCTCCCCTTCGTCCTGCGCCGCCTCGGCCTCCTTCTCCTCTCCTTCCCGTCGTCGTCCCCATTCCCCACAAGCGCTCAGAGATGGAGGGGGCGGAGATTAGGCAGCACACCCGCCTTCTACTGAGCCTCATAATCATCTTCATCTCCATCATCATTCTCCTCCTCCCCATCATCATCATCATCATCATCATCATCATCATCATCAGCAGCAGCAGCAGCAGCATCAGCATCAGCATCAGCAGCATCATCAGCATCATCAGCATCATCATCATCATCATCAGCATCATCATCATCATCATCAGCATCGTCATCATCACCATCACCATCAGCATCACCATCAGCATCACCATCACCATCACCATCAGCATCAGCATCACCATCAGCATCAGCATCAGCATCAGCATCAGCATCATCAGCATCAGCATCATCAAAGTCATCATCATGACCATCACCATCACCATTGCCATCATCGCCATCACCACCATCAGCAGCATCACCATCAGCAGCAACAGAGTCACCGGAGTCAGAACCATCACCTTCAGCGTCAGCATCAGCACCACCGTCCTCTCCCTCCTCGCCCTCATCCTCACCCCCCTCCGCCTCCGCCGGCGGCCCGCCGGCCCGGCCTCCCGCCGCCCTGGCCGTGGCCGCCGCGCTGCTCGCTGCGCCTGCCGTGGCCGCGGCCTGCCTCGCGCGGCGGTGGCGCCGCCGTGCCCTGCCGCCGGCTGGGCGCGCCCCAGCGGCGCCTCCCGCGCCTGGGCGGCCCGAGGCCCCTCCTCCTCCTCCTCCTCCCTCCTCCTCCTCCTCCTCCTCCTCCTCCTCCTTGTCCCTCCCTCCTCCCCTCCTCCTCCTCCTCCTCCTCCTCCTCCTCGTCCTCCTCCTCGTCCTCCTCTCCCCTCCTCCTCCCCCCCGCCTCCCCCTCCTCCCTCCTCCCCCTCCTACTCCTCCTCCTCCTCCTCCGCCACCTCCTCCTCCTCCTCCGCCTCCTCCTCCTCCTCCTCCTCCTCCTCCTTCTCCTCCTCCTCCCCCTCCTCCCCCTCCTCCTCCTCCTCCTCCTGGGCCGGACGAAAGGGGGGGATGAGGAAAGGAGAGGGTATGAAATCTGCTGCATGCAGCTGGTTTCAGCCCCACCGAGGGGCCCATTCCTCGATACAGGGCCGTCTCCAGCGCCGGGAGGCGCCGGGAAGATCAGCTATACGCGAGCTGATTCTCAAACCCCCCTTGGCTATCCCCCCCTTTCGCCCAGCCCGAGGAGCGCGCTCCACTTCTCGCAAAGTGCCTACTCGCAAACGTCCAAAACACAAACGCTGCTCGATGCGGTGGGCCCTTTTTGCCTCGACGCAATGGAGCCAGGCCACCTGCGAGTAGCGACTTACTTTGGCGAGTAGTGGGGCGCGCCTGTCTAGAGGAGTCGAAGGAGAAAAGATGCCGTAAACATAGACTTTGGTGTTCCGCGGCGCCATAAACAAAAAGCCAGCAACCAAAGCGCCACAAACATGAACACAAACATAACAGAAACTTTGAGCGTCGGCGGCTGGGCAGAGGGTGACTGCGCTGGCGATGGAGGCATGAACGGGGGTACCATTGGGCCGAATTGTGCCACCATGCAGGAGGAGGTGGGAGGAGGGACGCGGCCGAAGAAAGATAATGACGGGGCGGGCGGCTCAGGGGTCAGCACAGAAATTTTGGCGCTCCGCGGGTCCGCGCTGGGCCCTCCCGGCGGCGCCTCCGGCGCCGCTCCTGCCGCGCTCCGCTCAAGAAATCCGCGCGGCGCGCCACAAGTTTATGTTCATGGCGTTGCCTATTCTCTTTTTTTTTCTAGCGGAAGGGAATGTACCGACCGTGCCGATGCCGCTGCGGCTCCTCGAGGGAGAGTCTGCCGTGGCGAGGACGATGTGATTTCTTCCCTTCCCCAGGGCCGGGTTTCCGCCGTGCTGGACGTACCGATGTTTCTGGGTGTCCTCGAGGGAGATCCAACCGCAGCGACGGCCCAGATCTCCGACGATGTGATTTCGTCATTTTCTTGGGGGCCAATTTTTGTTCGGCCCGGGTCCGCTTCGAAGCGGACCGGGGGCGAAACAAATTGGCCATCATATTTGATGGCTCCAAGTCCCAGGAACGACCCCCGGATTGCAAAAAGCAGAGCGCCTGTGATTTGGGGAGGGCTCTCCAGGACGAGCAGCGGCATCCCCTGAGATCCAGGCGCGTTTCGTCTTTGCGCATAACGGGCGTGGTTGCCTTGCCTCGGGCCCCTGGAGGACCCTCACGGATCGACGCAGCCCAAAACATGCCGCAGAAAGATGGGGTCCAGGGCTCTTGAGGAGGACGAGGAGGAGCAGGAGGAGGAGGAGGAACAGGACGATGAGGAGGAGGAGGAAGAGGACGAGGAAAAGGAAGAGGAGGATGAGAAGGAGGAGGAGGAGGAGGAAGAGAAGGAAGAGGAGGAAAAGCAGGAGGAAAGGGGGAAGAGGACGAGGAGGAGGAAGAGGAGGACGAGGAGCAGGAGTTCTTTACGTCTTACTGCGATGTGGCAACTTCGTCGTGACGCTGGATCTCAGGGACAATCGTCGCCACGACCGGATTCGCTTCGGAGTTCTGGTCGGGCTGCGGCCCGGGCCGGGGCCGGGGCGGCCCAAGGCTCAGAAGAGGAACATTCGGCTCGGTGGTCGGCGCGAACAAGCGGGGATGGCGCGAGGGCGCCCTTCTAAGGCGGCGTCGGGGCTGACTAGAAGGAAGGGGCATTTTCAGAAGGGCCCAGAGGCTCCCAAGAAGGCTTACCAGAAGCCGTTACGGATTCCAAGAAGCCCTCCGCCCTCTTATTGAAGCCACGATAGGAGAGGGCCAGCTCAGGGGGATACATCGATTTGCGATCGGTCCATGGCGAAGCCGCACGGTCCTCTGGGCGGGGTGGACTATCGGGCATCGGCGATGAATGGGCGCTCTGTGGGGGGACAGGAGGGCACCGCTACAGCTATTCCCCGGACCTCTCCCGGAGCGCGTCCTGACCAGAATCGCGAGGCGAATCCAGCCTTGGCGACGAAGGCTTTCCAGGAGGGTAGCGGTATCCGTACCTCTTCCTCCTCTGAGTTGGGAGTCGACGCGTCCCCTTGAATTCCTACGTTGCGAATGCAATCCAACATCGCGAAAAAGCACGATGGGAGCCCTAGATTCCATCTTTCTGCTACTTCTTCCAAGCTGGATCGATATGTGATGGTCACCGGGCCCGAAAATGTGCAACGACATTTGGTGTGAAAAATTACACCGTCTGGATCTCAGGGGATACCGCTGCGGGCTCTCAGGGGATCTCAGGGGATACCGACCGTATTGAAGAGGCTTCCCCAGATCTGCGGTGATGGTCTGCTTGTTCGAATCTGGGCGACTTCTCTGGATTTCGGCCTCTGGGGCTTGCTTTTTCGGACCTCATGGCCATCAGAAACGAGACCCGCGACAAGTCGGCCCCGAGGAAATTGACAAGATCCGATCGTCGAATGCCTGGGTCGTCGCCACGACTGGATCCCTCGAGACTTTGGCCGGATTGCGGCCCGGGAGAGGTCCAGGGAGTGGCGGTGTCGGTGTCGGTGTCTTTACATGGCAGTTTTTAATACATTTTTTTTTATAATATCGGTTTTTTGAATACATGACTTATTTATGAATGAATGTATGCATGAACTCATCGTTGTTTTAATGATAAATCCCTGCATTTTTAAGACACGCGGAGCATGTATTAACGACGGCACTGTACGTTCCCCCCGACGAGGCGCCCGCGGGCCCGCCGCGCCCGCCAGCGGGCGCCGCCGGCGCGGAGTCCGCGGGCCCCGAGGCGCAGGGGGATGCGCAGAGAACGGGGGGGGAGTCAGCACGAGGCCGGAGGGGGACCGATCAGGGGCAGCGATCGGGTGGGACAGGCATAGCTGGCCACGCGCAGAAGGGGGTAGGGGGAGGGGGGAAGGCTTCTTAGAAGCACCCCTGCTTCTTAGAAGGCGCGGGCCTTCTTTGTAGATGCAAGGCCAGCGCCTTCTAAGAAGCAGCCTCCTTCTAAGAAGCCTTCCCCCCTCCCCCTACCCCCTACCCCCTTGTGCGCGCCGCCAACATAGGGGGGGGACGCATCGACCCTCACTCGTCCATTAATCGCCGATTGGGGCCCGATAGCCTCACCCCGCCGAGGAACGTTCGGATTCGCGGTCGGGGGCTCATTGCCGATCTGTCTACGATGTATCGCCGATTCCAGGTCGATAGTCCGCCCCTTATGCCAGTCCCCCCTTATCGTTGCCCCCCAAGCGTGTTGAGACAGCGGTAGCTGGCCTTCGGGGGGGGGCGCCTCGTCGCCACGGCTGGACGCGGCTCGGGAAATTGGTGTGTTTAGACTCGGGGAGGGGTCTGCGGAGCGAGTTTGAGCTGCAGATGTCTCAACCCGCGCTGCTCCGAGATAGGGGGCGGGACCAGCTCAGGGGGGGGGGGGGGAACATCGCCTCTAGATCGGCGATAGGCCCGCGATCGCCGAACCGCACGTGTTGGGGTGGGGTGTAGGCCACCAGACCCCGAACTTTCTGCGACGCATGGAGGAGGAGGAGGAGTAGGAGGAGGAGGAGGAGGAGGAGGAGGAGGGGAGGAGGAGGAGGAGGGGTGGTTCGGGGCTTCTGCGCGAGCGGGGAGAGTCACGGTCAGGAGCGCCTGCTTAAGCATGCCGCTCCGCCAGCTCTGGTCCACCACGCGTGCCATGTCCCCAGAAGCGGGCGCGGGTCAGCAGAAGCGGGGATCTGGCCACCGCGGCTTTCCTCCAGACCTCCTTTTCTGGCCTTGCCGCCCTCTGTTGACCGTTGTGTTCTTCCACAGCTGGAGAGGACAGGCTGAGCTCTGGATGGGGTAGCCTGATGGTCTTCGTGCCGGGGCCATCCGCCTCGGATAGCCCTCGTTTGGAGCATCTCCGCGGGGCCTTGGCCTCTCGTGCTCGTGATGGAGGTGGTCGTGCCCCTCTTTCGGCTGGAAGCCTTCTGTTTAACCAAGGTCGCGTTTCGCTGGTTGTTCCTGGCCGGGGTGCCAAAGGGCTACAGAGGAGTCCCACAGGGGAGTGCGGGCAGCCCGAGGCCGCCCGGTCCAGAAGCGGGCCAGCGCATTGGTTCCGTTGACATTTCCTCCTCCTCCTCCTCCTCCTCCTTTCCCCTCCTCCTCCTTTTCCTCCTTCTCCTCTCCTTCTCCTCCTCCTCCTCCTCCTCCTTTCTCCTCCTCCTCCTCCTCCTCCTCCTCCTTCAAGGAGGAGTCGTGGTCTCGCACCGATGCGGGCCACAGTTTTGATACGGACATGGCCGTGCTTTCACACCTGTCCCATGTAGCGGGCCTCCTGCTCCGCGACCCGCCCCTGTTCCTGGGCGCTCTGCTAGGGTACTATGTCTAGACCTTTTTCCTTGGACTGGCAAATTTTCCAACACCAATACCATATGCAGGACGGGGGAGAAGGGAGGATGAGGTCCTCCTCCTCCTCCTCCTCCTCCTCCTCCCCATTCTCCTCCTTCTCCTTTCCTCCTCCTCCTCCTCCTCCTCCTCCTCCTCCTCCTCTTCCTCCTCCTCCTCCTACCTATGGTAGCGGTGGTGGAAAATGGGCCAACCCTTCTTTCCTTCTCCATCGCGATCTTCCTCTGGGCAGTTTTTGTTCCCTGGGCGCCCGAGAGGCGCGGTGGGCCCTGGAGCTCCTGGAGCGGGGCCTCCGCGTCACGCGGGTTGGGCTGGCGCTGCTGGACGCCATGAAGGACGGCGATCGGCGGGAGAGGGTGGGGGGCAACGCCCAGGGGAGAGCCCAGGCGCGTTCGTGTCTTCGAACAGATCACGACGGGAGGTCTTCGGTCGTTTTCCGGCCTCCCGGGGCCCTCGCTGGGGGCCCCAGGAGAGTCTAAACATGGCTCGGGATGCAGGTCCGTCCGCAGGGAGTGGGTCGAGACCTGGGGGTTCGTCGTTGGCAAAAACATGACGTGCGGGAGGGCTGGGCTCAGGGGTAACTTGAGTGGAGGTTTGGTTCAGGGGGCATTGAGATCCTGGCGATGCAAGCTGCTCACGCTGGCCGTTTTCACCACTTTCCTGGGCCGGGGACCATCACATATCGATCCAGATCGAAAAATGTTGCTGAAAGATTGGGTCTATGACTCCTGTCGCGTTTTTTCGAGATGCTACAATGTTTCGTAACGCAGGATCTCACAAGGTGGCGGACGCATCGACTCCCGATTCAGAGGTGGAAGAGGCACCGATACCGCCGCCATCCTGGAGAGCCCTCGCCGCCACGACTGGATTCGCCCAGAAATGTTGGTTAGAACGCACCCTCAGGAGAGGTTCAGGGTGTAGCCGCATCGGTGCACGTTTGCCACGGACCATCCATTCATCACCAGCATCCCGTTCCGCCTAGGGCAGTGCGTTTTCGCCGTGAGGGACCATTCGCCGATCTATCAGTGACGCATTCCCGATTCCTTCGGTAGCAATCCAGGGGAGCTTCGTATACCCTCCTACTTCCGTCTTTAGCGTCGAGTAGCGTCTGGGGGTCGATGAGGTAGCGCCGGTTTCACGTCGGTTAGCGTAGATTTAGTGTCGGATAGCGTCGACTGGCGTCGATCAGCGTCGATTCGCAAGAGCCGACATGATGGTACCAGAGGCTCCCAGGAGTCAAGGAGAACGAAGAATGACGTAAACATCAAAAACTCAGAGGTCCGCGCGGATTTCTCGGATCGGCGCTGGACCCGCCCCTTGGCGCGTGGTGCGCGCGTGGTGCGCGCCAGGGGCGGCGCCGGAGGCGCCGCCGGGGTGGGCCAGCGCGGATCCGAGAAGTCCGCGCGGACCTCCGGGTTTTTCTGTTTCCGTCGGTTTTCGTTCCCCTAGAGTCGCCACCGAAGATTCCAGGTCGATGTTTTCCCCCCCCCGCGACGGATCGTTCCCCCTCGCCCTCCTCGGGTGAGAGGAGGAGGAGGAGGAGGAGGAGAAGGAGGAGGGAGGAGGAGGAGAAAGAGGGAGGAGGAGGAGGAGGAGGAGGAGGAGGAGGGAGAATGATGATGAGGAGGAGGAGGATGAGGAGGAGATGGAGGAGGGCGAGGAGGAGAAGGAGGGAGGAAGAGAGAAGAGGAGGAGGAGGAGGGAGGAGGAGGAGGAGAGAGGAGGAGGAGGAGGAGGAGGAGGAGGAGGAGGAGGAGGAGGAGGAGGAGGAGGAGGAGGAGGAGGAGGAGGAGGAGGAGGAGGAGGAGGAGGAGGAGGGAGAGCTGGCCCCCCCCCGACGTATCGTTCCCACCCGCAGGGTCACCCGCAGGGGCGCGGAGGCCATCTCTCGCGTCGGGCGCCGCGGTCGGTGTCAGAACGCAGACCCTCTCCGCGGGGATGGCGCGATGGCGACAAGTCAATTTACTTTACGCAGGAGGAAGAGGTGCAGGAGGAGGAGGAGGAGGAGGAGGAGGAGGAGGGGGATACGAACGAGAAGGAGACGAAAAGGAGATAGAACGCGGCGGAGACGTCCTCCTGCGAGCACGCCGCCTTAGGTTGTGGACGACGATCAATGGAGAGGAAGCGTGTTGCAAAATGAGTTCCAGATGTCTAAAGCATGTGCTTCACACATGTTCAAAACATGCTGATCACATGTGCTCAACATACTAAACATGTTCATTCGATGATCGGATTGTCAGGGTGCCCATTGTCATGGCATCCCCAAGCCTTAGGATGCAACTCCTGAGGTTAGATTCAGCATCGGCACTGGTATGGCCGGTGTCGAAAAAGGTCCAATCCGGCGCAAACCCAGTCAATTCCGTGTAGTTTGGAAGGGTCGGGCTTAATATACCTTGGGTTCACGCTGCCTTACTAGTTGGATGAGTTGCCCCTTACCCGGGCCTGGCAGCCTTTGATCGTAACTGCGAAGACCTCCCAGGAGTTGGCTCCGAACACGCCGCCCCCTCCAGCCCGCCGAGAGGACGGCCGGCGGGAGAAGCTGCCCAGGGCCGTCGCTTGGGGCCATCTCTGGAGGCTTCGGAGGGTCTCGATGTACACATCGAAGCGTGCGGCGGAGGAGTTCGGTGTATAGACCCCCCAGCGCCCCACAGGTTGGGAAGCTGGGGCGTCTGTACGCCTAGAGGTCTCGACCCATTCCCCGGGGCCGGTTTTTCACCCCGAGTCGTTCTTTGACGGTCCCGGGGCCCAGCCAGGGCCCCCAGAGGCCGAACACAGCCAAACATGGAGAGTGCCGTGACCTTCTTGGCCACGCCAGCATGACGCCTGGGCACCGAGCTCCTTGGCCGACCAGTCCGCTTTTGGTGTGTGTGTGTGTGTGTGTGCGTGCGTGCGTGCGTGCGTGCGTGCGTGCGTGCGTGCGTGCGTGTGTGTGTGTGTGTGTGTGTGTGTGTGTGTGTGGTGTGTTGTGTGCGTGTGTGCGTGCGTGCTGTGCGTGCGTGCGCGCGCGCGCGCGTGCGCGTGCGCGTGTGGTGTGTGTGTGTGTGTGTGTGTGTGTGTGTGTGCGTGTGTGTGTGTGTGTGTGTGCGTGCGTGCGTGCGTGCGTGCGTGCGTGTCGTACGTGCGTGTGTGTGTGCGTGTGTGCGTGCGTGCGTGCGCGCGTGCGTGCGCGCGCGCGCGCGGTGCGCGTGCGCGTGTGTGTGTGTGTGTGTGTGTGTGTGTGTGTGTGCGTGTGTGTGTGCGCGTGTGTGTGTGTGTGTGTGTGTGCGTGCGTGCGTGCGTGCGTGCGTGCGTGCGTGCGTGCGTGTGTGTGCGTGTGTGCGTGCGTGCGTGCGCGCGTGCGTGCGCGCGCGCGCGCGTGCGCGTGCGCGTGTGTGTGTGTGTGTGTGTGTTTGCGTGTGTGCGTGCGTGTGGGTGTGTGTGTGTGTGCGTGCGTGCGTGCGTGCGTGCGTGCGTGCGTGGATGTGTGCGTGTGTGGTGCGTGCGTGCGCGCGTGCGTGCGCGCGCGCGCGTGCGCGTGCGCGTGGTGTGTGTGTGTGTGTGCGTGTGTGTGTGCGTGTGTGTGTGTGTGTGTGTGTGTGTGTGTGTGTGTGTGTGTGTGTGTGCGTGCGTGCGTGCGTGCGTGCGTGCGTGCGTGCGTGCGTGTGTGTGTGCGTGTGTGCGTGCGTGCGTGCGCGCGTGCGTGCGCGCGCGCGCGTGCGCGTGCGCGTGTGTGTGTGTGTGTGTGTGTGTGCGTGTGTGTGTGTGTGGCGAGTCCCCGCCGAAAGGCTGGAGCAGCTTCTGGAGGCCCTGGGCGCCGAGGTGGCCGAGGCGCCCGGCGCGTGGCCGCTGGGGCGCGGCGCCGGGCTGCGGGAGCTGGAGGCTCGGGCGGCCGGCAGCGGGGAGCCAGCACGGCCGAGAGTTGCCAGCACGGCCGAGAGTTGCCGGCGTGTAGCGCCGCCGGCTCTCGGGCCCACCGCGCCGTCGGCCCCAGAGTCCAGGAGCCCTCGCCGGGCCTGGGCCCCGTCGGAAGAAGTGCTCGGGCCGAGAGGCCAGCCCCAGGGAAGTTCTCTTGCCTTCGGGTTGGCCCGCGCAGACCACGCTTAGCCTTCGGCGCGGCACGCCATCCACGTCCCAGACCCCAAGCGTCAACGTCCCGAGCAATTTCCAGCGTTGTGTGCGATGCGGGGAGACATGCACGCTAGCCGCTTGCGAGGCGTAGCGTGTCGCCGGGGCCGCCCCCGCGACACTTTTTTTGGTCGGCGGCTCCCTGGCGAAGGTCAAGAAGCGAGTCAACAACGAACGGGGCGCGAACGAAGCTAATTGGCCGCAGTGGCATAGTTATGCACGTGCGAGGGTCAAAATAACCCAAAGTGACCGCCAAAGCCAGCGTAGACGTCCCGGCGGTGGAAACACCACCGCGGCGGAGCAAATCGGCGCCGAGAACGCCCTTTAGGCGAGCCCCCGCGACACGCGAAGCAGCAGTTTCCGACTGGGGGGGATCGAGGACTGCAGGACAGTGGGCCCACGGGCCTCGAAATGGCCCCGAAGCTGCCACTGCGGGCTTGCAAGAAGAGGAGGAGGAGGGGGAGGAGGAGGGGGAGAAGGAGGAGGAGGAGGAGGAGGAGGAGGAGGAGGAGGAGGAGGAGGAGGAGGAGGGGGGGGAGGAGGAGGAGGAGGAGGAGGAGGAGGGGAGGAGGAGGAGGAGAGCAGGAGCATGACATGACCACACGCACGTGTGCTGCCCCCCCTCTTTGATGAGCGCTCGAGAGGCGCGCCTCGCGGCGCTGGGCGCCGAGGGTGCGGCGGAGCCGCCAGGGGCGCGGCTCCTGCGCGACGAGGCGTCCGAGGGGGGAAGCCCAGACATGCTCGTGCCGCTTACTTATAAATAGGGGAACAAAAAGTGACATAAACATAACTCGGAGGTCCGCGCGGAGTTCTCGGATCCGCGTTGGGGCACCCCTGGCGGCGCCTCCGGCGCCGCCCCTGGCGCGCTCCGCGCGCCAGGGAGGGAGGTCCAGCGCCGCTCCGAGAAATCCGCGCGGACCTCCGAGTTTTTATCTTTATGCCACTTTCTGTTCCCCTAATAAAGCATCGCGGCGGAAGGCCTTTGGCCGTTTTCGGCATCGGGGGGCCTTCGCCTGGGCCCCGTGGCCGTGTGGCACCGGCCCGGTGCGAAACGAGCTGGCCCCGCGGGTATATGATGGGTCGAGACCTCCGGATGCCGACGCTGAGAACAAAGAAAAAATACGACGTCCAGAGGAGGAAGGGGTGCACGGATACCCGCGTCTTCGTCGTGTTGGGCTTCTCCGGAGGCCCTCGCCGACACGGCTGGATGCGCCTCGCGAGCCTGGCCAGGGCGCGCCCCAGGGCAGGCCCCAGGAGCCCGCGTGCCAGGTTTATCGCTCCCCCCGAGGCGTGCTACTTCGCGCTGCTGCGGGCGGTGAAGGTCCTGGCGGCCAGCCCGTGGGACGAGGCGGACGACCAGGACTCGGCCTACGTCGTGGACGCGAAGGCCGAGTCGTTCGGCGGGTGACGCCCTGGTTCTGCCATGCTCGTCGCCCTCTTCACAGGGATCTCCGATCGGGCGCCGGCCCGAGGTGCTCAGAGACAGGGGACGAAGGAGCTGCATAAACAGGAGCGTTCGGAGGTGTGCGCGGAGTTCTTGGGTCGGCGCGTGGCCCCCATGGCGGCGCCTCGGGCGCCGTTTTCTGGCGCGCGCCGCGCGTACATCCGAGAGCTTATGTCTATGCCGTTGCTTGCTCCTCCACAGGTGTTTATCTCTTCCGCCGTGCCGCTGGAGCGCGGCCCGTTGGCCTGCATAGCCCCGCGTGCCAGCTGGACGAGACGGCCGCGTTGCAGGGGAGAGTGCCAGGAGAAGGGCGCTGGCGCTCGAGCGGCGGCACACCACCAGTGAAGACTTCAGGCCAGCTGTGCAACGGCGGCACGTCTGCGCAGGGCGCCCTGGCGACATCCCCGATGATGCCCTGGCCCAGCCTCTTCCGCGATCCCATGGCCATCTGTACTGCGGTCGCCGTACATCGTCATCATCGGCGCCGCCTCCTATCCCCGGACAGTGCTTGCACTTAGGGGGTCTTCCAAGGAACTGGCTGCGTGATCCGGATGTTCGGCTCGTGCCCGCTCCGTTTCCCCGCTGCGCCAGAGGAAAATCATTTATATCATGTTTTAGGAATTGGGGGAGGTGAAGGAGGACGAGGATCAGGAGGAGGAGGAGGAGGAGGAGGAGGAGGAGGAGGGGAGGAGGAGGAGGAGGCGGAGGAGGAGGAGGAGGAGGAGAGCAGGAGGAGGAGGAGGAGGAGGAGGAGGGAGGAGGAGGGAGGAGAGGAGGAGGAGGAGGAGGAGGAGGAGGGTAGGAGGAGGAGGAGGAGGGGGAGAGGAGGAGGAGGAGGAGGAGGAGGGAGGAGGAGGAGGACGAGGAGGAGGAGGAGGTGGAGGAGGAGCAGGAGACGACGAAGAGGAGGAGGAGGAGGGAGGAGGAGGAGGAGGAGGAGGAGGGAGGAGGAGGACGAGGATCAGGAGGAGGAGGAGGAGGAGGCTCCGTTGCCTCTCCGTTGCCGCCTCGGTTGCCGCATTGCTGCCGCCCCGCACCCCGCATTTGCCTTGCATCGTGCTGCGCTGTGCTGCTCGCTGCGTCGCTTTGCCCTGCGCTCCCGAGCTGCACCACGCACACTGTACTGAGCCACTACTTCGCGTCCTCGCTGGGATCATCGTCCTCATTGTCAGCACTCGCCTGCTTGGTGCAGCTGGGCGCGTCGAGGTCAATCCGGGTATGCCTGATCACATATTTGTCAGGCCTCCGCCGTCGACAGGACTGACTGCACTGCAGCGCAAGTGGCAATGCAGGCTATCACCACCGAGCCAGGTCGGGTTTTATCAGCTAGTTCCGCGGCCAAGAGAACGGTATTGGCATATCCTTTCCCAGTTTCACCAGGCACAAGAACTCTGCACCGCTTCCGTGTCTGCACCGCGTACGGTGGCACGGTTCATCGCCCCAAGCTGGCAGATTGTGCGCAGAATTCAATGGGAGGTAACTACGCGAAACAGCCATTTCCAGTTTGGGACGTGACCGCCAATACGTCGAGAGCACCGTCCCGACCCAGGAATTTGGCCAGCGCCTGAGCGAGAGCACCATACTTGGTCCGCAACGTGGCCACCGCAGAGATGGGAGCGCCGCTTTACCCCTCGAGGCTCTCGAGTTCTTGGCCACCGCCACGGTGTCAGCACCCTTCCGAGTCAGGAGTGCGGCCTGCCCTGATGCGGGAGCACCACGCCGAGTGGCCCGCGCTGAGGGGGCGGCTGGCGCTAAGGCGAGAACACCATGCTGAGTGCCTGGCATCGCTCGGACGTGTGCATTTTTTCTCGGCGAGAACCATCGAGGAGCATCCCTCATCATTCGGCGAAAAAAACCACGCACGAGACCGAACAAAACATAGGGAATGGACGTCCGAGCGATGGCGAGAGTCAGGATTGTTGCGGGACCCCAGGGGAGAGCAGAGTAGGTCACCAGTCGAATCCGAGGCCGGGCCCCCGCCTGCGAGAATCTATAGCTATCTTGCCCCATTGATGTTCGGCCGTCTCTTGATTCGGAGGCTGTGCACCTTGTGCTTGTATACAGTGTGCCCGTGTCTTGCTTTGCTTTCGCCTTTCGCGAGTCCCCGGTGGTGTTGCGGGTGGGCCGCATGTAGTTCGACCGAGATGGACGTCGGATGTAATGGCCGCCGCTGCGCGCATGGCTTTTTCAGAGCTGAGTCAGGATTGTGGCCGGCCCCTAGGCAAGAGCACAGCGGGCACGTCAAAGAAGAAACCAGCCTGCCAGCAGGTGCCGTCTGGAGCCCAGGCATACTCGTTCCGTGGGCCTCAGGGTTCTCGCACCCCTCCCCAGGGCCTGCCAGAAACGCTGGGCCACTCATCAAGCCCCACTCTTTTGCCCCCCGCGCGCCAGAACGGTTTTGTGCCTCGAGTGGGGGCGTCTCACCTTGGGGGGGTCTTGCGTTGGGGGGCGTTCCACCTTGGCGTTTGGGGGCGTCTGGCGTGCCACCTTGGTGAGTGCCCCCCGCGTTTGAGGACGTCTGGCGTCCCACCTTGGCCACTCTGAAGAGAGAGGGGCGGGAAGGCTCTGAGCACCAGCCGTTGGGAACAGAGAAATTCGACGGGCGTTTTCTCGCTGATCGGGCCTCTCGGGGGCCGATTTCGGGCCCCCTCGCCATCACCCCGCAGGAGCCCGACGAGAACCTGGTCCCGAGGATGAGGGCGAGCGCTCTGTGGGCCCACGCAGTTGAAGACCAGCACCGCAATGCCCTAGCCGGCTGATGTACAGGAGCCTACCACGGGGCAGTCGTAGAACTCATACACGGGGGGGTGGAGGTTCCAAATTGTTGCTGCTTGAAATGTCACCGCGGGAGCCCGGGGATCCCGCCTGTCTGAACAGGCGTGTTTCCTCGATTTCTTAGTGCCGCTGCTGGGCGTGGCACTGATCTGCGCTGGGCCAGGGGGTCCATCGGCGGCGAGCGAGGGGTGGAAGTGAGAAGGAGAAGGCCTTCTCACGAGGCGGCGGGACTTCTCAGAAGCCCTCGCGCCTTCTGAGAAGATTTCTGCATCTTCAGGGAGGGCTTAGAACACTTCGAGGAAGGCAGGGGGACTTCCGAGCTTTCTGAGAAGGTATTCTCCTTCTCACTCCCCCCCTCGCTCGCCGCCGAGTCAAAGTGGGAGCCCAGCGTGCACCCGCCAAGGCGTTTGGCCGGCATCTTGGTTTGGGATTGGGGGGGGCCTTGGGCCCGACTCGCGTTCGCGTGCTCGCGTGTTTCTCAAGTCGAGTCCTGTTACAGCCTGACGTACTTGTTGTCTGAACGTGTTCCTACGATCTGCCCCGCCAGTCGCCTTCTCGGCCACCGAGTCTTGCCACTGTCAAACTGATCGTTGCGCCCCTCCATCTACACAGCGCTCTTTGCTGGCCCCTGATAGTTGTACCGCCGCGTCTTCGGCATAATGGATGAACGGTTTCACTTCACCTTATGATGGTTGCTCTGGTTCTCCTCTGGTGTCACCGCTTCATCGTGTTGTCTAGTTTCTGTCGTCGGCGAGAGCGTCGTCATTCGTCGTCGCCATCGTTTGCAATCTGCAGAACTTTTTGGGGTCAAGCTTGAACCTTTTGCTACGCCCAAGCGGGACGGTGGGAATGCTCCCATGGATTTTCCGCCGCCAGATGCGGATGAATCGGAGGACATGGTCCATGCGTTGGGCGGGAGTGTCTCCTGTACGCAAGAGGTTCATCATAGCTGGCGCCATGGCGTGCACGTTCACGTGCACCATGCAGTATAAGTTCAAGGAGTGCGTGGAGGTCGTTGGGAACCCGGCGCAGATCACCTCGCCGGGCACGCTGTTCTGGCTGCGGGTGCTGTTCGGGCGCATGCGCTCGCGCTGGTTCGGTGCCCTCACCGAGATCCGGCTGCCCACGGGGCTCCGCGCTCCGCTGTTCCGGCTCTTCGCCTGGACGTACGCCGTGGACCTGGAGGAGGTCAGGTACCCTCTGGACTCCTTCAAGACGTTCAACGACTTCTTCTGCCGAGCTCTGAAGGAAGGCGCCCGGCCCATCAGCGACTTGCCGGCCGGGCTGGTGAGCCCCGTGGATGGGCGCGTCCTCGCCTCCGGCGTCATCCGGAACGCGAACACGAGGGTAGAGCAGGTCAAGGGTGCCACGTATTCCGTCCCCGCCTTCCTGGGGCTCGACCCGGTCGAGTTCAAGGCTGAGAAGTCCTTGATCAGGTACGTGGTGCTTTATCTCGCCCCTGGAGACTACCACAGGATCCACGCCCCGTGCAGGGTCAAGTTCACGCAGGGCAGGCACTTCTGTGGAGAGCTAATCCCTCTGAAGCAGAGCATCCTCAAACATGTCGACGACATATTCGCGGTGAACGAGCGTGTCGTGCTTTCTGGTGAGTGGGGGTTTGGGCAGATGCATCTCGTAGCAGTGGGCGCTGCGAACGTTGGCAACATTTACCTCGATTTCGACGAGAAGCTCAAGACGAACAGACTACGGGACATTGCAGTACACTGCGGTGGTGACGTATCCAAGAAGTTGTATCCGCACGGGGTGGCCTTAGAAACTGGTGGCAACGTGGGAGGTTTCCGTTTAGGCTCTACAGTGGTCCTCGTCTTTGATGCGCCAGAGTGTTTCCAGTGGAAGGTCAATCTCGGCGATAGTGTTCGAGTCGGTGAGGCCTTGGGTGAAGTGGTGACGCAGTAGGACAATTTGTTGCACATCTTCTCAGCCAGCACTAACCCATTCGCGATGGGGTCTCTAAGAGAGTGATCCGCGTTCTCGCCACGATTAGGTTTGGCCTCGTTTTCCGTTTCCTGGCTTACACGCGAGCAGTGCCGTCCTTAGCTCGGTGGGTAGTCTGTACCATCACCAATGAATATAAGTAACCATCTCGTTCACCGCTTCCAGCAGCATTAGCAGCATCATCCATAACCGTCGTTCCATATTGGCTCGAGTGTAAGCGAGTGGCCTTGGTGATGCACCGTCGACGAAGTATCTAGAACTCCGCCCCCTGCGAGAAGGCATGTTCAACTGGTCCAGATGGCTACCGTGCTCCGATGTAGGCGGGCTGCGAGGAAGACCATGACGTCGTCACTTGACAGGTCCCTGGTATCTGTTCGGACTCATGCTCTGATGCCCCTCCAGAACATCCAGGGCATCCGTGTCTGCATGTCTGGATCAGTTGTGTCTGTCCATGGTTCGACAGAACCTGGCGAAGCGCAAGTGGGAGTGCCTTTGACGAAGGTGCATCTTTCAAGCTTCCGCTCCACATCGGCTACGACATGCATCTGAAGACACCTGCGCGCAAGAGGGGTTGGTGAATTCAGAGACCCCAAGATTTTACTGGCCTTCGGCCCACCCCGCCACCGTGCCTGTGTTGCAGGTGTTGTAAGTCAGAGGCCTCTTGGGTGCCTGTGGGGATCTCTTGGGAGGCCTCCAGTTTTGGAGTATCTTGGGCCTCTGAGGGGCCTCTTTTGGGCATCTAGGGAGACTCCGCCACCACCCGTGCACATCACTTACCAGAGGGTGTGCTCTGCAACATACCAAGATGAGTTATGAGCGAGAGCTGGTTTTCACAGGCTCTCCGGATGTCACCAGTCTTGCTAGGGTGGCCAAGATCATGGCGTTGTTTATTCTCCGAGTTTTCGGAGGGAATCTTTGCGAGGGGAACCATGCAACCAGTGGACCAGTTGGCAGATGCTTCATCTTTGCAGTGACCACTTACAGCGCAAATCACGCACCCAGTCGGCCCGATAAGTTGGACCGGGTGAATCACTTCTTTCGGTCTCCAGCCTGGGCCACTCTCACGCAGGCTGACTCCGCCTGAGACATGGCCCTGGGGGTAGAGGGGAGAGCTGGAAGAGCGACCAGGGCAGGGGGGTCACGAGACATGATGACCCGCAACTTGGTGGGGACTTGCATGGCGTCGATTGCGGCAATTACGGGTCTGACTCGAGCTCACCACCACGCACCATCTTTGAGACATCGGGGGTTCGACTTGCTGGCTTGCCGAAGCGCCTCGGGCACCCTGCGGGCCTACCGATCTCTAGAAACTAGCTGGCCCTTGCGCGAGTGGTGTGGGCAGGAGTCTTGACAATCCAAGGTACTAAGCCCTGCCTCAATGACGGATCCTAGTCCCCACCAAGCACGCTTGCTGCTGCAACAGCGCTTTTCGCCCTTGGTTGCACTTCCCATCCGCCCTGCTCTTCCTCCTCCGCCTCCTCTTTCTCCTCCTCCCCCTCCATCTGCATTCACATCCTTCACTTCCTCCTGCTCCTCCTGCACTCGGCGGCGAGCGAGAGGGGGCGGGGGGAGTGAGAAGGAGAAGGCCTTCTCAGAAGACGGCGGGGGGCCTTCTGAGAGGTTGTCCGTGTCTTCGGGGAAGCCTTCGATAATTGCTCAGAAGGCCGGGGGACTTCCGAGCCTTCTGAGAAGGGCCGCCCTTTCTTGCTTCCCTCCTCGCTCGCATCGCCCTCCTCCTCCTCCTCCTCCTCCTCCTCCTCCTCCTCCTCCTCCTCCTCCTCCTCCTCATCTCTCATCTGGCTCCTCATCCGCCATCGCCCCCCTCCAAAGTCTTCCCTTCGCGCACCGCTTCCTCGCCCTCCAGAAGCCTGCACATACCCGCACGGGAGGCCTCAGACAGCCTCCGAAGATCACCACTGGACGCCTCCAGAAATCGCCGTAAGCATTTTCCTCCATCCTCCGCTTCCTCGGCTACCCCCGCTCCGCAGTGATCCTCCTTACCTTCTCCTCCTTCCCCCTCCTCCTCCTCCTCCTCCTCCTCCTCCCAAACCATCTTCCTCGCTCCGCCTCCTCATCCGCCTGCTCCACTTCCCCGCCCCCCTTGAGGAACCTGAGAGAACATGTGGGGAGGCTCGGGCCTCCGGACGCCTCCGCAAACCGCCGAACACCTACTTGTCCTTCTCTTCGCCCTCCTCTCTACACATCCTCCTCCTTCTTCTCCACTGTCCCTGCTCCTTCTCCCCGCCCTGCCGTATAGTTGCCCTCGCTGTTGCTCGTTCATCCTCCGCCTCATCCCCCATCCTTCTCCGCCTCATCCTCTTGCTCCGCCAGGAACCTCCCGTCACTAGGTGGAGCCTCCAAGCAATTTCCAGTTACAATTGAAAGCACCCGCAATCTCCTCCCTGACCCTTCTCATCCTGGGCCTCATGCCCTCGCTGCTCTATCCTGCTCGTCCGCCTCCTCCTCTTCTACCTCCTCTATCCGTTTATGTCTCCTCGCTCATCCTCCTCCTCTCTCTCTCCTCCTTCGCTTATCTTTATTCCTCAGCGATCGATGCCCGACCCTGCCACCTAGCCAGCCGATAGACCACGCCTCTGGGACCTTGCACCCCACCCATTCAACCACAACTCAACGTTTGCTTGCTACTTGTCAGCATGGACGTTCTGGCGTCGACTTTGCAAAGAGCGGGGCAGGAGTAGGACGCGGCGCACACTGCGCGCGAATCGGCGCAATGTAGCTGTCGCCGCGGCGTTGCGCTCATTCTTCCCTAGAAGTGAGGTCCCTCTTGGGCGCGGCGAGGCGCACATTTCTTGCCCGCCAAGTCGTCGACAACGGCGACTCGCGCGAGCGATGGAAATGTGGCTCTCGCACCAGCGCCGCGCATACTATGTTTGTAAGTAGCGCACATGGCGTATGGCACCTAATGTTTCAAATACCAAGTCGTCGTGAGAGGGACCGCGCGCGAACGGGCGAATTGTGGCCAACCCCCAAGCTCAGTGCGGATGCCGCCAGAACGTGGAGATCCCGCCTTGGCGTGGTTCAGATGCTTCGCGCGCCGAAGCGCGAGACAGCAGCAACGGACTCGCTCGCGAGCTGGTGGAATGTGCTTCTCGCCCAAGCGCCTCGCATATTTCTGCCTCGGCGCGGCGCAGGTTTCGCTTTCGCCGTTCTCATCGGACACCTGGCCGCGCGAGAGGAAGCTACATGGTGCTCTTGCCTAAGGTTATGTTGCTCCCATCGTTCTTAAGGAGCACATCCCAGAAATACATTTCGAGCATCCGGGAACGTGTCGAAAGAGTGTCGAAACAGTGTCGGGCGAGTGTCTCTCAGGGCCCGACACGTGAACACCCTCGAGTTTCGTTTTTTGGGGGGCGCTCGAAGTTCTTTATGCTGACCCAGGCTAAAGTAGGTTGGAGCATCATAGGCATCAAAGCCGCGCAAGGACTCCGAGAAAGCTACGGTGCCGCCCGTGCTCTAGGACTCCGAGAAAGCTACGGTGCCGCCCGTGCTCTGCCCGTGCTTTCTCTCCTGCATTGGCGACGTCGTCGGCAAGCGGTGCCGCGCGCGAGCACCCTCCGCTCGCTGAGAGAGGGGCGCGTGCCAGTCCACGCTGATCAAGCTGCGCCAGCACAAGGGTTGGAGGAGGAGGATGAGGACGAGGGAGGAGGAGGAGGAGGAGGAGGAGGAGGAGCAGGCGGAGGAGGAGGAGGAGGAGGGGAGGAGGAGGGAGGAGGAGGAGGAGGAGGAGGGGGAGGTAGGAGGGAGGAGGGAGGAGGAGGAGAGGAGGAGGAGGAGGAGGAGGAGGAGGAGGAGGAGGGAGGAGGAGGGGAGGAGGGAGGCGGAGGAGGAGGGGGAGGAGGAGGAGGAGGAGGAGGAGGAGGAGGAGGAGGACGAGGAGGATGGAGGAGGAGGAGGAGGAGGGAGGAGGAGGAGGAGGAGGAGGAGAAGGAGGAGGAGGACGAGGGATGAGGAGGAGGAGGAGGAGGAAGAGGAAGGAGGATGGGAATGGCCAGGGCCCCGTGGCCCTCTCCACCCTGCCAATCTGACTGCTCCTTCTTCGCTTCTGCCTCCTGCAGCCTCCTGCCTCCTGCCTCGGCGAAGACGCCCCGGCAGGTCGTGCTCCTCCAGAAGGCGTCGGAGCTCTGCGGCCTGAGCCCGGGCGAGGCCATGATGCAGGCAGAGCAGCTCTACCTCAAGGGCTTCCTGCCCCACCCTCGGCGCTGCCTTTGTCGCCGTACTTTTTCGCCGCCGAGGTCGCCGTCGCGGTCGTGATCGTCGCCAACGTCGCCGACTGAGTCCTCCTCTTGTTCTTCGTTCTCCTCCCCCTGTTCCGTCGTTCCTCCTTTCGCTTCGCTTCCCAATCTGGCTTGCAGACGGGGGGGCACAGGATGGGGAGGGCTTGGAGGGGAGGGGCAGGAAGGAGGAGGGGGGAAGGAGGGAGGCGCTGTTCGATGTATGCGCTGTTCGCCAGTGGATAAAAAAAAACTCTGCGCCTTAGTCCCATCCTTGCTCATGGACGATTCGCGTCATACCCCTCCCCCCTCTCTCCGATGTAGTTGCGTTGGCCAAGGCACAAGCATTGTCAGGGACGCGTGCGTAGCACCAGAGCGAGAGCATGCTTTGCCAGAGCAGCCGCCGTCCATCAGCGTCGCTGCCTGGGACACCAAAGTTCATTCCCTTAAATCATGCAGGATCAACCAGGCGAGAGCCATGTTAAATAACGGTCACGAGCGCTTGCGTCACTCAGAGAGCGAGGGCTCGCAGCACTAAGGCTAGAACGAGATTATCCAAACGACCTGCTCTTCGCCTGTGCAGACCCTGGAGACTCGAAATGGATGTGCCCCGCGGTAAGGCCAGGGCTGCAACCTGAATGAGTACGCCTAGCCGTTTGTGTGATCGATGGGAACTATCCAGGCGAACGGGCGCTGCGGCAATGCGGAGGCCACGCTGCGAAAGCGGCTAGGCCGTCATCCTTGCAGCTGCTGCCAGTTCTGTCGAAGCCCCAGCCCGCGGCGCAGCGACAGGCGAGGGGCGCCGCACTCCGAGGAGCAGCCGCCCTCCGTTCGTGCAGGGTGCCGAAGGGCCTTCGGGACGCGAGCTCGTGGCGCGGCGTGGCTGCAGAGCCCCCGCTTCTCATGCCGGCGGTCCGCCCCCGATGCGTGCAGCTGCTGCCGAAGAAGGCAAGCTGCACAGGCAGAATCTGTCGGACCTGCTCGCGGACGTCTCGGGTCGGCGCCTAGGCCCCGCATCCTCTCCCTACCAACCCATGTTCTTCCTCATGCGTTTGCTTCTTCTTCTTCTTCTTCTTCTTCTTCCTCCCTCTGGAAACCATTGAACATCTCCCCGGGGTTCGCCGACAACCTCCACTTCGTCCTTCCAGGCAGCCGACGTGCTGATTTCTTCACGGCGTGCCCCCAACCCCCCCTGGAGCCCTGGACCCCCCATCGCAGGGGTTGCTCTGCCTCCGCGGCCCTCTCCTTTTCGGGCCAGGCAGACCGAAGACGGGCCCCCGAGGCCGAGATGGCGAAGGGCAAAGCGAACGCCCGTCGTGAGTGCTGCCGCGATGCTCGGAGGTATGAGTCCTCGCTTGCGATCGGCTCCCGGAGCTCTCCCAGAGCGCGTGCCGAGTGGCAACGGAGGGCGATTCTAGCCGTGGCGACGGGTGGCGCCCCAGGGGTCCAAACAGAGGCGAACAACGTCGAGATGCCTCCCTCCTTCCTCCAGAGTTCCCGTTGCAGGCGGACGTGGACGCGGTCCTTTCCTGCCGTTGCTCCTCTGGTGCTTGATATCGGCAGCATGACTCCGATGTCGACAGCTTCGGAGTGAGTCGCGACATGCTGCCCTTGCCCCTCCTCGTGAAGCCCCTGCCCTGTCGCCGCTGAGCTGCTCGGGGACGGACGGCCTCTAGGTCACCCCGCTACACGTAAGATTGACCTTTCGCCGGAATGGCCTGCGGTGTGCGGCAATCTCAGGGGGCGTCAGGGTGCCAAGCTCAGGAGCGCAGGCCGTTCTTGTCGCACCCGGCGTAAAGACTGGCACTCCACGCACCAAGAGCCATTCCATGCGCACAGGCGACGTCATGATTTGTTCATTACGTCGACCCTCAAAGTTCTCGACCCATTCCCCAGGACCAGGTTCTCATCCTGCGTCGTTTTTCGGACGGCCCCGAGGCCCGGTGAGGGCCCTCAGAGGCCGAAAATTACGAAAAGCCTCCCGTCATGAGTTTTTCATTGCCCGAGGGGATCTGGCTCTGTAGGGCCACCCCTCGCGTGCGGCCAACGCCCCCGGCGGGGGGGGGAGGGGCGGAGGTTTCCGCTTCGCGCCTCGCGGCCTGGTTCGAAGGAGGAGAAACTGCATAATCACAGGGCTGGATCTAAACGGTGTTTGGGCGATTTCGTGGGCCGTTTTCGTGTCGACTTCGTTTTGCGGTAGAAGTGGATTGAAGACAAAACGAGGGAAAACGAAAACAAAACGAACACGAAAAACACCGTTTAGGTTCCGCCCTGCATAGTCATACACTTTCGACGGTCCGCGCGGATGTCTTGGATCTGCGCGGGACCTCCTCCTCCATAGCGCGCAGAGCGCGCCAGGGGAGCCGCTGGAGGCGCCGCCAGGGGGCTCCGAGCGCAGTTCCAAGTAATCCGCGCGGAGCTCCGAAAGTTTACCACCTCGTGACCCGTCCCCCTTGAGCGGCCCTCGCTCCCTCTCTCCTCTTTCGGCCGCCCTCCCTGTCTCCTCCCATTTCCTTGCATGGTGGCACAATTCGCTTCAACGGTATTCCCATTGTGATTGTTCTTCCGCCAGCGCAGTTGCTCTGCCTAGCCGCCGACGCAAAACAAATATTGCTCGTACCACCCTGTGGGTGCTCAGGAGGGGCTCTCTGGTTTCCGCGCCGTGCCCCAGATCTGGGCAGGGGGGCCTGCTGGCGGCCGCGAGGCTGGTCGTGGCCAGGTGCCTTCTCTGATGCTTCGGATGCCCGCGCGGTGGCTCTGCAGTGGCCGCGGGGGCCGCGGCGAGCCGAGGTCCTACCCGCGCACGGAGACGACGCGGTACCCGCAGCACTTCGACAAGTGGGGCGTGCTGGAGCAGCTCAAGGCCAGGCGGGGCGGCGCACGCGGTCTCGTAGGAGGAAAGGGTACCCATGCCTCTGCAGTCAAGACGCTGAAGTAAGGAACAGTTTGGTTTCGGAAGGGGCTCGATGTTCCTTAGGTTCCTCCAGTGCTGTTCCTCTTGCCCTCCTGGGGCACGGAGGCGCTTACAGGGCCAAGAAGGGGCTTCGTTCCTTATTTAGCGTTCCTTCTTTCAGCGGCCCGACTGTACCCTTCCCTCGGCGCCACCGCTGGATTCGCTCCGAAATCCTGGTGAGAACGCACCCCGGGACGGGAGAGGTCCGGGGCAGTAGCGGTATTGGTACCCTTGGGTTTCCCCATGGTCGGCGCCTAGCGCGGCCAAGAGAGGGGAGGGTGACTAGGGGAGGACACATCGTGGCAAGGGTCATCATCGCCCCCCGGTTCTCAATGGCCCCTGCTGGGATCGCCGCAGCGGTTGGTAAGTGGACAGAGGGGCCATGAGCATGTTGGTTATGTTTGGTCGATTCTGGCTTATAAGTGAGCTACACAAGTGTCCCACGTTGGCGAAGGGGTGTGTAAATACTCTGGCTAAGTGGGCTCCGCCCTCTTAGCTGTATTATGCAACTTCTCTAAACCACTGTGGACTTAGTGCGGTGATCCAGGTCCTTTTTTCAGTACGTCCCTGCTTTTTGGCTTATACATGGGTTGCACAAGTGCCCCATCTGGCAAAGCGGGTGTGAATGCTCTGGCTGAGTGTGTTCCGCCTTCTTGGCTAAGTTATGCAGCTTCTCTAAGCCACTATGGACTTAGCACCCCAGCGGCGATCCAAGATCTTTTTTCAACACGTCACTTGGCCCTCCCCAGTGTGCTGCGCACACGGCTTTCGCCATGATTTGCGAGACCCCTTGTTGGACGCCCCCCTCTTGGACACCTTTGACGAGCGCCGAGTGGCAGACGCCGTCGACGCCGCCATCGTCGCCTTCGTCGCTGCCGCCTTCGTCGCTACCGCCTTCGACGCAGTCGCCGTCGCTGCCACCGTCGCCGTCCTCGCTGTGACGCGTGCTCTCTGATCCGTGCCAGGCCTCTTCCTCCTGCTTTCTCCTCCTCCTCCTCTACCTCCTCCTCTCCCTCCGCTACACCTCCTCAGAAAACGCATGACACATAATCTCTGGTCGCGCTCCACCACCTTCTCTTCCTCTTCCGTCCCCTCTTCCCCGCTTCCTCGTTCTGGACGCTTTCGGGGAGCGTTGGTGGGTATAACCTCGGATGTCCTCGGCGGTTTCAGGAGGGGGTCAGGAAGGGGCGGGCCAGGCATGGCGATGGTGAGTGGCAGCATCGGGATGAGGATGAGCAGGAGGGACATGACAACATAGGAGCAGTATGTTGATCAGGCTGAACATTAGAACGAGGATGTGGGGAAGGAGGAAGGCGATTCGGACGAGGGGACGAGGATTAAGGATAAGGATGGTGATGATAATGAGGAGGGATAGGAGGAGGAAAGGACAACAAGGAACATCAAGACGAGGAGGAGCAGCTATGGACTACTCAGGAGGTTGGAGGAGAAGGTGGTGGTGGAGCAGGAGCAGCAGCTCTCCTGGGTGTTTGGAGGTGTTGGGGAACATCAACTCTCAGAGGTCCGCGCGGATTTCTTGGGTCGGCGCTGGACCGCTCTGGCAGTGCCTTTGGCGCCACCCCCTGGTGCGCCTCGCGCGCTGGAGGAGCGTGGGTGCAGCGCCCAGCCAAGAAATTTGCGCAGATCTCCGAAAGTTTATGCTCACAGCCACAGAAGGTCATTCGCCTGAGTGTTGCCAGGATGCCCTGTGATCCACACCATCAGCAGGATCTCCGCCGCCCAGCCCAACCCAAACCTCGGCCATGGGCCACCGGCTTCCAATCTCGGCCTCAATCTGGGCGACCTGAAGGGCCCTGTATAATTGCCGCGCGCGCTCATTATTTGATCGCGCTGTATGCCGTTTTTGTTGTGCCCCTCCGTCCTGGGGCCCAGGGAGACCGGGCGGGGCTAGGACAGGCATAATCGGGAGCCTTGAGACGGGGGTCAATGCAAATGGGGGTCAGACAGAGCACCCGATCTTGCAGGATCCTGCAGAGCCAGGGTCGCATTGACCCAGGCTTGGGTGCAGGATCCTGAAGGATCTTTCAGGATCCATCGGATTGACCCGGGCTTGGGCGCAGGATCTTGCAGGATCCTGCAAGGCTTGATTGACCCGGGTCTGGATTGACCTGGGTCAGGAGATCCCCGACACGGGACGCTCTGAGAACGCCGCGGCGCCCGATACATCCTCCAGAGCCGCCGGATCCCAGAGGTTCCCGATGCATCCCTGACTTTGTCCCTGCCTCGGCTTCGCCCTAAAGGAAAAAGGACGGCAGCGGCGAGGCAGCGGCGAGGCGGCGGCGGCGGGCGCCGGCGCGCCGGGCCCGCGGCGGCGGGCTTGCCCAGGTGCCCGATGCGCCCTTCTCCGGGCTCGCGCACAAGGTGGCGGAGCTGAAGGCCGCGGCCTTGCGCCCTCTGTGCGCTTCTGGGTGGGCAGCAGGCCCAGAGATCCAACGTCTCGAAAGAGTCAAAGCAGGGGCGTTTCGCCGTTCTCCTGCCTCTGGAGGCCCTCGCCGGGCCCTGGGGCCGTCAAAAACGATTCAACATGAAAGCCGGCCCTGTGGAACGGGTCGGGGACCCCGCATTGAACAAAAATACGACATCGGATCTCTGGGGAATGGGGGGATGGATGGGCCGCGTGAGGTGAGAGGAGGAGGTGGAGGGGAAGGGGGAGGAGGAGGAGGAGGAGGAGGAAGAGGAGGAGGGAAAGGAAGAGGAGGAGGAGGAGGAGGAGGAGAAGGAGGGGGAGGGGGAGGAAGAGGAGGAGGGGGCGTTTTTTTGTTCTGATATGGGAGCGGAGTTTAGAGATGGGCCCACGCGGAGTTCAGAGATGGGCGCTGGGCCCCCCGCCGGAGGCGCAGTCAGGGGGGCCGCGGGCATGTACCCTGCCAAGTCGATTAGCGGTAGCGAGATGTTCGTTTCTCGAGGACGTGTTGAGACCGCAAAAATCTCAGAGGAGGGATCGTGGTGGCAACGGCAGGGAGCCTTCGAGGGCTCCGTCGTCGTCACGGCTGGAGTCAGCTCGGAGGACCTGGTGCGTATGGACCACAGGAAATCGGCGCTGGGGATCGATATTGATCTGCCGTTGTTTCCACTCGCCTTGCTCCGTAGTTCTGTCGGCGTGCGCCAGCCTGGTCTGGTCCTGGGTAGTTTTCTGTTGAGGGCGTTCTGCTAAAAGGGGCTCTGCCCAATCCCGGAAATATGGCGAGATGGGTTGAACAAGGCGGGCTCGGTCGCACATCCTGGAAGCATGAATTCAGCATCGGCGCTGCTATATGCGCAGTCGAAGACCGTCCTACTCAGGCCGACTCCCGCTCAGTGCGGTTGATTGTGGCTTAATCCGGCTTCAATTTGGGCGCAGGCTAGCCTTATCGAGCTCGGTGGCCCCTTGATCTTCACTGATGGGCCACAATTGTTCTCAAGAAGACCTCAAAGGATTTGCCTCCTCGGGAGGAGGATGAACAGTAGGAGACTCGGCCGTCGAGAAGTTTGGTCTGCACGCAGGGCAATGACCCACTGCTGAACCCCCGAGTTGCGAGACATTGCATCCCACCCCTTTGCTGGCAGTTGAAGGCGTCCCCGACGGCAGTCCACATCGGGGTGCCCTGAGTTGAGCTCGGGACGGGGAGGGGCTGTGGACGGAGCGCGTTTGCATGGCGCCTTCGTGCTGTTCTCAAACTTCCTCCAGTTACTTCTCACTGCATCCACTAAATTACTCCAGGTTCCGTTGAGCGAGTTGAGCATGCTACCGAGTGGACGTTCTATGTGGCGCTTACCTGTCGTAGACCCACAGCCGAGCCCAGCACGCGTGCCGCGGGGCGCCACGTCGGGACCATCAGGACATCGACGGGAGCCAGCCAACAACGCTCCCCACCGCATGATCTCGCGTGTTTCTGCTTCCTTGCCCCCACAGGGACCTTCGCCCGCCCGACGCCGTCGTCGTCGTTGTCGTCGCCCGGCCCAGATCGACGGTCGCACGGACGGGGTTGACGTGGGCGACCACCCGCCGATCACGCCCGTGAAGCACGCGACGGAGAGGCAGTGCAAGGACCCTCGTCGCCGCCCTCGCCCCGGCGCGCGCCGCAGGCCCGGGCCTCCCTGGCGGCTCGATCGAAAGCCACTGCGGTTGCCGTCGCTTCCTGGGCCGATGCCAGGGCCCGCAGTACAGTGCCGTTTTTTTATACATGCTCCGCGTGCGGATCATGTATTAAACATGCAGGGATGTAGCATTAAAAACAACGATGAGTTCATGCATAACTTTATTCATAAATGAATCGTGTATTCAAAATCCAATATAAAAAACCATGTATTAAAAACTGCATTGTACCGTCCAGAAGCGGCCCGGGGCGAATCATTCGGCAACGGCGAAGTGGTCGAGAGCTTCCCCAGCGGCTCGAGGCGATGGAGTCGTCGGAGATCTCCTCGCCCTCACTCTCCTGCATCTCGATTCTGTTCCTCATCCTCCTCATGCTTGTTCTCATTATCCTTGTCCTCGCCCTCCTCGTGATGCTCACTCTGCCGATCCTCACTTTGCTGATCGTTCCTCTCCCGCTCCAAACTCGCCCGACCCTCACCCCTTGCTGATCCTCATTCTCCTCATCCTCGCTCTCCTGGCCCTCAATCTCCACATCCTCACGCTCCTGCCCCGCGCTCGCCTGCTCCTGAGCCGCGTCATTTACTCTCATGATCCTCCCCATCGCGAGCCATGCCCTGCTGATCCTCAACCTCCTCACCCTCATCCGCCGCACCACCGCCTCCCGCGCGCGTCCCTTCTTACATATACATATGACGGCGCACCGGGTCCGGGGGCCCGGGGCCGGGACCTCGACCACAAATGTGCACCCCGGGGGCCCCGGAGGCTCGTCGGGGCTTGCCGGAGGCCTCCCCAGTCAGACAAGACGGCCCAAGAAGCGCCCAAGACGGCCCAAGAAACTTCCAAGAGGCCTCCAAGAGGGCTCCGAGATGCTGAAGATGGCCTCCAGACGTCCAAGGACGCCCCCAAGAGGCCCCAAGAAGCCTCCAACATGCGTCCCAAGAGGGCCCCTAGACGCAAAAATTGGCCCATTCCCTTCGTAAAACGTACATTTTCAACAAAGTTGTCTTTTGGGCTTTCCGACGTTACAGGACGGCCCAAGAGGCGCCCAAGACCGCCCCAAGACGGCCCAAGAAGCTTCCAAGAGGGCCCCAGGACAGCCCAAGAGGGCCCCAAGACGGCCCAAGAGGCGCCCAAGATGGCCCAAGAGGGCCCCAAGACGGGCCCAAGAGGGGGCCCAGAGGGGGACCACGAACCGCAAGCTCGAGCCTTCCGCCCCAAGAGGCCGCCAGGAGGCCCCCAGGAGGCCCCTCAAGAGGCCCCAGGAGACCCCAGACGTCCAAGGACGCCCCCAAGAGGCTCCAAGAAGCCTCCAACATGCGTCCCAAGAGGGCCCCTAGACGCAAGAATTGGCCCATTCCCTTCGTAAAACGTACATTTTAACAAAGTCGCCTTTTGGGCTTTCCGACGTTGCAGGACGGCCCAAGAGGCGCCCAAGACCGCCCCAAGACGGCCCAAGAAGTTTCCCAGAGGGCCCCAGGACAGCCCAAGAGGGCCCCAAGACGGCCCAAGAGGCGCCCAAGATGGCCCAAGAGGGCCCCAAGACGGGCCCAAGAGGGGGCCCAGAGGGGGACCACGAACCGCAAGCTCGAGCCTTCCGCCCCAAGAGGCCGCCAGGAGGCCCCCAGGAGGCCCCTCAAGAGGCCCCAGGAGACCCCAGACGTCCAAGGACGCCCCCAAGAGGCCCCAAGAAGCCTCCAACATGCGTCCCAAGAGGGCCCCTAGACGCAAAATTGGCCCATTCCCTTCGTATTATCCCGGCAAAGCAACCTAACAGCGATGTGTAGAAGCATATCTGAAAGCATTCCCCTTAAGATTCAGATGAACAATCCAGTTGTCGAATTCTGCTGTTCTCGCAGTCGTAGTCGCATTCGCGATGACAGTCGCAGTGCAGCGGCAACGGCAGTCGCAGTCACAGCCTCAGCCTTCAGCCTGCCCCTCCTCCTCCTCTTTTTCCTGCTCCTCCTCCTCCTCCTCCTCCTGCCTCCCTCCCCTCTTCCTCCTGCTTCGTCCCCTCGTTCTCGTCCTTCTCGTCTTGCTCGCCTCCTCCTCCTGGTGCTCTCATCCTCCTCCTCCTCCTCCTCCTACCTCTCTCTCCTCCTGGTGGTCACGTTCTCCTCCTCCTGGTGCACTCTCCCCCCCTCCTCCTCGTCCCTCCTCCTCCTCCTCCTCCTCGTCCTCCTCCTCCTCGTCCTCCTCCTCCTCTTCCTCCTCCTCCTCCTCCTCCTCCTCCTGGTAGTCCTCCCCCTCCCCTCCTCCTCCTCCTCCTCCTCCTCTTCCTGGTCGTCCTCGTTCTCGTCCTCCTCGTCTTGCTCGTCCTTCTCCTCCTGGTGTTCTCTCCTCCTCCTCCTCCTCCTCCTCCTCCTCCTCCTGGTGGTCCTCGTTCTCCTCCTCCTGGTACTCTCCCCCCCCCCTCCTCCTCCTCCTCCTCGTCCTCGTCCTCCTCCTCCTCCTCCTCCTCTTCCTCCTCCTCCTCCTCCTCCTCCTCCTCCTCCTCCTCCTCCTCCTCCTGGTACTCCTCCCCCTCCCCTCCTCCTCCTCCTCCTCCTCCTCTTCCTGGTCGTCCTCCTCCTCCTGGTCGTCCTCCTCCTCCTGCTCGTCCTCCTCCTCCTCCTGCTCGTCCTTCTTCTCCTGCTCCTCCTGCTCCTCGTCCTGCTCCTGCTCGTCCTCGTCCTCCTGGTCTTGCTCGTCCTCCTCCTCGTCGTGCTCTTGCCCCTGCTGAAAATGTGGCCCAGGAATGGGAGTTCTGGGAAGTCGAAGAGCACGAAGTTGCCTACAGTTGGGTACGGGCATTCAAAATGTGGCCCGGGAATGGAGTTCTGGGAACTCGAAGAGCACGAAGTGGCCTACAGTTGGCTCCGGGCATTCAAAATGTGGCCCGGGAATGGAGTTCTGGGAAATAGAAAAGCACGAAGTGGCCTACAGTTGGCTCCGGGCATTCAAAATGTGGCCCGGGAATGGAGTTCTGGGAATCGAAGAGCACGAAGTGGCCTACAGTTGGCTCCGGGCATCCAAAATGTGGCCCGGGAATGGCGTTCTGGGAACTCGAAGAGCACGAAGTGTGTGACTGTTGCATCCGGCCCCCCAGAATGTGGCCCGGGAATGGCGTTCTGGGATGTCGAAGAGCACTTTGTGTGTGACTGTTGCATCCGGCCCCCCAGAATGTGGCCTGGGAATGGAGTTCTGGGAAGGCGAAGAGCACGAAGTGTGTGACTGTTAGTGAAAAACGAGCCCGGCTCATGCCGCCCGGAAACGCCCCAACACCTGCCCGGACCCCCCTGTGGAGTGATCTGTGAGCTCTTTTGAGTCAACTAGAAACCTATCAGTCTTCGCTGTTAGTAAAAACGTACATTTTCAACAAAGTTGTCTTTTGGGCTTTCCGACGTTACAGGACGGCCCAAGAGGCGCCCAAGACCGCCCCAAGACGGCCCAAGAAGCTTCCAAGAGGGCCCCAGGACAGCCCAAGAGGGCCCCAAGACGGCCCAAGAGGCGCCCAAGATGGCCCAAGAGGGCCCCAAGACGGGCCCAAGAGGGGGCCCAGAGGGGGACCACGAACCGCAAGCTCGAGCCTTCCGCCCCAAGAGGCCGCCAGGAGGCCCCCAGGAGGCCCCTCAAGAGGCCCCAGGAGACCCCAGACGTCCAAGGACGCCCCCACGACGCTTCGCGTCACCAATTTCTTCTCACAACGATTCCTGGGTCTGTGACTCGACAGAACCTAAGCGCGCGAAGCGCGCGCGTGGTTCTAGTATATATATATATGTATATATATATATATATATATATATATATGTGTGTATGCGTATATGCAGGAACTCCCAAGAAACCGCAGAGCGGTTTCTTCTCGTATATATACTCATGTGCTTATACGCATACACATACACACATACACATACACATACACATGCATACAACATATGCGTATACAGTTGCGCACATGTCTGTGTCGTATGCCCCACATATACATACATCTGCATAATGCTGTTATATCTGATCACATGTCTGTGTCGTATGCCCCACATATACATATCATCTGCATATGCGTATACGTGTGTGAATACATACGAACATCGATGTCGCAAAACGGGCGCGCGCTGGAAACGGCTTAAACGGAAACGGGCGGGCACGCGGGGAGTTGGGGAGGATCGATATCTAGAAGACATTGGCATTGGCGCACGTTGGAGGCGGTTTGAGGAGGTGGACGGGGGGGGCGGGGGGGGGGGGGGGGGGAAACAGGAGGGGGCGAGGGGAACGGGGGGGAGGCGGCTTTGGGGCGCGGCTGGGCGGGGAGGGGGGCGGAGGAGGCGGATAGGGGGAGTGTCGGGGAGTGGACGGGGGAGGGGGGTTTGGGGGGGAGACTACAGAAGGGCCTCCCCCCGAGTAGGGGGACGGAGCTTATCAAGGGATATCCAGGGAGCCCAGGCACACTTTCAGCCTGGCGGCTGCGATATGCAGGGTGTGCGAGACGAGCCTTGCAGCTCGTTTCATTAGATCTTGCAGACCCAACCTGCCAGGTTGGAAAAAAACCTCGATCCTTGAGCGTTTGCGCGCTGATCTTCGCAAGGAGCCTGCCGCGTGGGAGCTGTACAAGCTCGTCTGCCGGCACTTCCTCGCGACGGTGTCCCCAGACTGCATGGTCAACGAGGACGCCCTCCGAATTGCCTCCTCATTGCCTTTTTCCGCCACGTCCGCTCCCATCTTCTGTTTCCCTCCTCTTCTGCCATCCTCGTCCTCTCTCGTCCTCACCCTCCTCCTCGTCGCCCCTCCCTTTCCTCGCCCCCCCTCATCATCCCCCCTCCTTCTCTGCCTGCTTCTGCCGTTCCTCCACATGCTCTTCCTCCTGCTACTTCGCCCCCTGCTCTAAGAGAACTAGAAGAAGCAGTGTCAGTTAGGGCTCGGCATGGCAGCGTCTTCACTCACCATTCGTATCGTATTGTCCTCCTTCTCTCCTCTGCGAGAGGCCCCCCACTTGTAGGCCCTCGCATCCCCCCGCTCTCACAGCGGCCTGCGCGACCTGGGCTCCCCCCTCGCGCGCTGGCGCCGCGGACTGTGCGACACGAGCCGCTCCCCCTCGGAAGGCATGCCGCCCCGAGGTGCGGGATGGCAGCCCCCCGCACGCCCTGGCGGCCCTCCGCCGCGCCCTTCTGCGATTGCCGGGCGGGGGACCCCCCCCCCCAGGCGAAGGCCCACCCTCGAAACTGTTCGCA